AAAAAAAAAAAAAAAAATGAAAACCTTGATCTCAAAAACTGGAAAGAAACAGAAAAAAACCTTGAAATAATTCAGTGAAATCTCGTCTATTATTTGGATTACAATGAATTTTCGAGGCTGAAAATAGGACAATAAAAAGGACAACAATAAGAACTATAAAAAGAACAATAAATAAAGCGCAATTTTGAAATGTTTTAAATATTTTTAAATATATTTTTTGTCTGTTGCAAATTCATTCAAGTAAAAAACGGTGTCCCCCGACAGAAAGCATTTACTTGAGTGAAAGAATTTTTTTCCACTTGACCCACTGTCCCGACCCTTAGTAATAAATACACCTCTCATACTTTTCTCTCCCCTCCCCCCTTAGTTTACCATATATAGCATCCAAGGATTGCGCCATGTGCTTTGTAAGGCCAGCGGTGATTGGCTATCGCCACGTGTGTAGTCAGCACTCCGAACTTTCGCCAAAAGACTCGAAAATCTTGGCTTCTTTTTTCGCTTTCTATTCAATAAATCCACCCTCTTAAAATCCAATTTTTGTCCTAACTCCAAGAGCAAGGATTCAAATAGTTACTTGGGAAGTTTGGGGTTGAATGGCTGCGTTTAAGTAATGCTAGCGTTCGAGAACGATCCTTGTGAAACGAGGTAAGTCAATGGAGTTTCCTTCTTCTTCTTCGGCGTCGTTAAAACCTTTATAAAAACTTATTTCTTCTGCATTTCTTCACATTTAAAGAACATTCTAAATCCTCTATTCTTTCTCTAGTCCTAACTTCTTAACCCGCCTATTTTTTTATCCAAACTTATTTTTCGCTTTGAGAATTCACTCTGAAAGCGGGACGAAGAATGAATTTAAAACCCAATTTATAGTGAATTCTCGTGTTATTCTTTTGATTTTTAACCCATTTACAAAATAATTTTTAAAATTTAGGGCCATTTATTTGAATTTTGAAGTCTTTGAGAGGTTTGTATTTTTAAAAGAGGGAAATATTGAATGTAGTAGTGGTTTTAGTATGTGTGACGAGAGGAGTGGAAGTCAGTCACGCTGTCTTTAATCTTGAATAATTTATCCCTAAACATTAATCTTTTGTTTAAATGATTTTTTTTCCATCTTATTCTCGTGATTCCCAGCCAAAAATAAACCTTCCTACCATTAGGAAAAAAATAGTATTTTATGATCAAACAATAAAAATCGTTTTTAGCCAGTGTAAATTATATTTTTACTCAAATTGTGATGTGAAAATTCTTTAAATCTCTGAACTAATAATTTCTTTTTTCAAATCATACGAACCCAAAGAGTGGCTTAGTTTTAGATTGTTACTCTGTTTTGCCATATTTAATGATTCTTGTTCAAACATTGTTGACTTTATACCCTTATTTTTAAAGCTAAAAATATAATTGTTCAAAATATTATTTTCTTGTGGAAATATCTTGATTCCCAAAAATATCTTGACTCAAACATTTGGAATAGTGAGTTATACATTAAACCTCAATTTAAAAAAAAAGTTATTGAAAATCGAGAAAATTGCTAGAAATGATAAGTTATCATATCGTAACATTGGTTAACTAGATAGCTAATATCCTCGTAATATTATGGGTAGAAATGAAGAAAGAAAGATAGTGTGCTGTGTGCAGTTATAAAGCAGGGATTGGAAGGATGCAAGAGAACTGCTAGGAGAAGCAGGGAATGTAGTAAAGTGCTTCTCATCTTTTCTCAACTTCTTGTTTTATTGATTGACAAATGAATTATTTGCGCCTAATTTACTAATAATGAAAAATTGCTTTAATTTCTTGCAGGATGTTAGGCACCTCGCCTATTTTCAGCAAGGATTATTTCGTAAATTCGTTTGCCGATTTCTGCCCTCTTTATTCTGAAGATGATATAGCTGCTGAAGTAAATGTGCAGTGGTAAGAGAAATAATAACATTGACGAGGGAATTCACATGAGAATTTTGATAATGGGGGGGGAGGGTGGATTAATTCAGTGATTGAACTGCTGTGGGGGGGGGTGGGGTGGGGATAGGAAGTAGTGTGAGAAATAGCATTTTTTGTCTTACATGCAAATGTTTCAATATTGAGCATGCTTGGGGGATTTTGAATGGCGATAGTTAAGGCCCTTAAAAACGGCCCAACATTTTTTTTGGCAGAATGTCTGCACTTTGTTGTATCAGGAAAAACTACCATGACAAATGAGCCTAACATTAATCCAACATGAAAAATCACRTCCCAAGATTGTTGGTAGATTATGACAAATGGTCCCAACATTTGATCCAAAGAATATTGGCTGAATGTTGGGTCAAATGTTGGGCCATTTGTCAGGGTCCTTACTTGAACCTTACTTGCTTTAGCCCTTGCACTTCTTGGACTAAGGTCAAATGTCGAATTTCACACAAGGTCAAACAAAAAAATAAGAGTGTTTCCTGTTGCATGAGAAAAATAATGGGGGTCTGTAGGTCAGATTTTTTTTTTTACTGATACAACAGTGGAAATAAGCTTACTGGGAACCCTTTGGTGCATTTGGGAATGAAAAAATATTAGGGTCGCCAAAAATCTGCAAGAAAATTAGGGTTGGTCATGCAACAGGAAACACACTTATTTTTTTGTTTGGCCTAAGTCAAATTTAATAACGATCAAAGAAGACCACCTTATTATCCATTTGTTTCAATTAGGTTTGGCTCATGTGAAGTTCGACGTTTGACCTAAAGCTTAGAGCAATTCATTCTTAGTCAATCAGTCAATATAAACCAAACATAAATTTGAACATTTTCTTGTTATTTTTCACCAGTGAATCAATATCTGCAAACAGTTCCTGTGGGACGTCTGTCACTTCTGAGTTTTCTGAAGACAGTTTCTTTGATAATGACGATGAAGAGTTTTTACCACTGGGTGAAAGTGAGGTAAGTAATCCATATCACTCCCAAAAAAAGTCTCTTCCTTGAGATTTGCATTACATATACTATCCTCACAATAATTTTTACGTAATGATAAAAAGGTAAATTATACACCATGAAAAGACGAAGTCCTCAGACAAAGGACTAGTGTCAGAAATGTCAGTAAGTTTTTTCATCTTTTAACGGTGTATGATTTACCTTTTTATCATTACTGTTTCATTAGAAACACTGACGCAGCTCATACTAGTTTTTATCTCTTCTCATTTATTTTTACCGTACACAAACTTTAACTTTCATGTTTATGGTTTTGTTTTGTATTCTTGATTTACTCTAGTGTGCAGCATTCAATTTTGAGCCTCTTGAACAATTTTCAAATGGTAAGTGAGCGAAAATTTATAGTTAAACAAAAAGGCAATAAATATAAGAATGTTTTTAAATTTAATAGATCTTATTCGTGGTGTGACAATGTTTTCCCAATTCAGCGTGACAAACCTCTGGGGGAATGAAGAGCTATTGTTTTCAAAGTCGTCGGGATATCATCGTTATTCCTTTCGTATCCTTTGGGATACTCATGAATTTTTCGAAGAGTAAAAACAAAGGAAAAGGAATCCCCTGGAGGTTCTTCACGCTGAATTGGGAAAACATTGTCACACCACGAATAAGGTCTATTAACTTAAGATCCTATAATTTATGCATATAGTACCCTTTCTATACTGAAAGGCGGTTATGACTGTGAGAGATGGTTAGCGTGAGGGTAGACATTAAGGATGGTTACTGCCAGGGTTTCTTTTACTTACCTCTGATATTGTAATGATAAAAAGGTCAATTTTACACCATGAAAAGATGAAAAAACTAGCGTCCGAAATGTCAGTGAGTTTTTTCATCTTTTCACAGTGTAAAATTTACCCTTTTATCATTACTGTTTCATTATTAGAAACACCAACGCAGCTCACACCAGTTGTTAGCTAGTTATCTCTTCTTACCTCTGATATTGGTTAGTAATGACAAAGTGTGACAAGATAGGACCGGCATTTAAAGTGGTCATCCCAGTCACTATAAGGTCTAACCATTTATAGATGTATGATAACCGTACCAGATGTGCAATAGGCAGCACCTTCTCCTCAGTTTAATATTTTATGCCCCTGAGTTTTGTTCCAGCTGGGGATTGAACTGCAACCTCCCCTACAACATTCCCATGCTCAACTGAGCCAATCGCATTGACGGATTGACAGCATGGACATAGTATATGCAGAGATATACCTACCTGTTACCTTTGTCTAAACAAATGTTGTTTGATTATAGTAATGCAAGGAAATTCTGACCTCGAAGATGAAGAAGTATTATCATTCAATAACAAAGGAGAGTTTGATTCCAAGAAAAGAAAGAGTTCTATTAAATCAGAATGTGGCTGTTGTGAATTAAGGAAAAGAATGGCTGGATTGTCATGGTGAGCTAGGTTGAATGCTCTCTTTTTATCAAATTCAGAGCTCGAAATAGTGGCATGACAATGGCCAAATGAATGTCATGGTGAGCTAGGTTGAATGCTCTCTTTTTATCAAATTCAGAGCTCGAAATAGTGGCATGACAATGGCCAAATGAATGTCATGGTGAGCTAGGTTGAATGCTCTCTTTTTATCAAATTCAGAGCTCGAAATAGTGGCATGACAATGGCCAAATGACAGGCCAAATTTAAGGTTTGGCAGGTGAAAGTAATGATACAAATGAATAATGCATGCAAATTTTACTGGAATAACCTCCTTTTACCATTCTCCTGCCATTCTCCTTTACTATGGCAGCCTAAAAAAAAAATTTTTCAAGCCCTGAAATCTACGCTTGTTTATRTGTTAGCTATTGGCTGTTACTATTTAAACACATATTTTGTCAATACCCTAAGATCATGTTGGATGAGATCTTAGTTAGGGCACGGCTAACTCGCAGATCTGGAATTAGAATTTAGTGCGTTAGGTTTTGCAAAGGGAGGGAAACCAGAGAGCTTGGAGAAAACCCCTCAAATCAAGGGAGCAGCCTAACAATTAACTTTACTCACATGTGATGCCAAGTCCAGGAATCAAGCCTGAGACCACAGAGGTGAGGTGAGTGCACTACCACTACACCACCCTTGATTCACTAATGTATGTGATGTTGAGTACAGGAATCAAACCTGAGACCTCAGAGGAGAGGTGAGTGCACTACCACTACACCACCTTTGTTCACTAATGTGTGTGATGTTGAGTCCAGGAATCAAACCTGAGACCCCAGAGGTGAGAGGTGAGTGCACTACCACTACACCACCTTTGTTCACTAATG